GTGTGAGAGGTGGCAACTGGAAGATCGATTACCAAAACATGTGGAAGCACATTCTATTTTAGTGGCTCAAGATACGCCACACTTTTATCATTTTCAAAAGATAAAAGCAGAATCAATTAGTAATTCTGTCTTCCTCTATGTATTTCAAAATAGAAGGAAAAAACGAACATGTATCTTGTCATTAAACAGGCTCCTGCAATGTGAGATGGTGTCAAACATCCCAACATACAGAGGAGAAACTCTGTGCAAGTTCTATGCAAAACACGAGAGAAGCTCTCTGCAAACTACTTTGAGATATCATAATGGTGTATTCATATACTCCATAACCATAACTGATTTTGAGAAGTATAATCGGCCAACATAGTTGTAAAAAGAAAAATAGGATTACTTAAACAGGATGACCCATAAAAACTTACTTTTAAGCTCAGAAACTTGCTCAGGAGTCAGCTTGGCAGAGAACCCACTAGCTGCATGCTTGTAACTGTAAATCAAAGCTTCCTTTGCAGCATCCTCACTTTTTCACACCGTAAACACACAGAGATCAGGAAATACTTCAACCTTATGTGTACAGAATGTACAAAATATGTCTATATCCTTAAGAGAAAGGGGTATGGGAAAGAGGGAAAAGGGGGCAACAGCTCTCATCTGCAACCTCAACAACTAATCATCTAATAAAGAGTCCCTTAACCGAGCAAGCATGATTTTCTATCCAGTTCCCGCTTAAGATTTTGGGGAGGTTGAGCATTAATTTTGATCTCTTTGAAACTTCTACAGGAAAAGATAACTCTACCCAGATACAGGAATTCTGACAGTACAAAATTTATCAGTTATCAACAGGTATCTTTATTTTTCCCGGGATGAGGTACTGTACTGGCTAACTTATCAAAAGAGTATATTAGAGGGTAATTATACAATAATAGACACAATTACACGTGATTCAAACACGGAACAACTAAGCGGTAAACTCTACACACAGAATAGCTTGCCATTTTCTTTATCATGCATTGATGAACAAATCCAAGGTTGGTTCAAAAGTCTGACAGACTAAGTTCGACGAATCCTTATTCAAAAAATCTCAAATAAACATCACAAAGTTAGATGAGCATCCAACTTATCTTATCCAAAAAAAATATATATATATTGGATGAGAATTCAATATTCCAATTGAACATGCAAAAGTGCCTAAGATTCATCCACCACATGTTTCCGCGCAAATCATTCTTGCAGCTATAGAACTATATTTTGATGTTCATACAACAACAAAAAAAAAAACCCAGCTATAGAACTATATTTTGATGTTCATATCATATATAAAAAGAAATTTATCATCTAAGGATCGAAGTCTTCTCTTTTCAACTATTCAAATTAAGGTAAACAAGAAAATACAATCTCTAAGTTTGTGACAGAAAGATAAGAATGGGTTTTTGTCCAACTTGGAATTCTAGGTATGGGATTATGTCCAACTTCTACAATTAGATTTGTGCTAGAAAACGTCCAACTTGGAAGTAGGAGTGTTGTTTCTGTCCACCGTGTCATTCTATAGAAGAATCAAATTTCAACTCTTGGAACTTCAAAGTATAGGATTAAGTCCAGAAGATGCATGCACCGCTCACTAGCTTAGCATTTTCTTTATCACGTACTAAAGAACAAATACAAGTCTGGCTCAAATGTCCACTAGACTAAGTTCCACTAGATCCTTGTTCAAACACTCAAAATAAACATCACAAAAATGGAGATCCTTGTTCAAACACTCAAAATAAACATCACAAAAATGGAGATCCTTGTTCAAACACTCAAAATAAACATCACAAAAATGGAAAGACTTGTTCAACATTCCCGATATGGTCAGTGGAGGAGCTACGTAAGGCAGATTTAACGCTACGCCCTTCCCTTAGCGCCTCCCTCTAGGCGGGGCTCAAACAAAGGATGCACGGGGTGAAGTTGCCACCATGAACCAAGGATTGGAAGGGTTGAGGATAGAGTTTCTTTTTAATTTTCAGGATAGTTGGCAAGAGCTATAACAACTTACGATGCAGTTGATTCGGAAACATACGCTAGGGCGGTTGGGTGGGGAGTCAGAACAGGACCGCAACGGTCCTGCTCCGCTTTATACTAAGAGAGTGTGGTTGGGTCTAACTCCGTTATAAGGCTAGTACGCCGAGCAACTTCGAATTATGTTGTGCCGATGCACAAAGCAAGTACACAACGACTACAGCAAGCTCCTCAATTTGACCCGGTCCGTCACGCTTTGGACATCCACCAGGATCGTTGAGGCCCCATGAAGACGGCTCTACTTCACTGGGAAGACTCGGTACTCATTAGCGATCGTCTGGGTGACCAGTGATTCCGGAGAAAAGGCAATCTTGTGCTATACTCCGGTGATCTCTTTCCTACCGAGACACGCAGACTCCCATCGTGTCCCAGATCACATTCCGTGAATCGAAAGGGGATTCCCTCCATTTCACTCAACGCAAGGGAATGCAAAATTTTTGATTGTTCTAGTTAGAATGGATTGGTCATACCTATCCTATAATGCTCCAAGGGCCGTCAGGCGAACACCCTTCGCTGGAAAATTACATTGCATATATAAGTAAAATGCTATTCGATTTTAACATATATAACGGTTTGCACACCCTTGAAACAACTGGGCGACGTAGCCCATCGGTGAAGGGTGTTCAGAGGTCTCGCAGGTTCGAGTCTCAAGTGCACACGTTTTTACAGCACATTCGTTATATATTATCATTTTTTTTTTTAAAATACAACATTCATATCCAACTTCTTCCTTTTGAAAAATAGAGTGGCCAATACTCAATTCCCAAATCCCAACCGGTCTGTAACTTTCTTTTTCTTTATTAATTTTTTAATTAAAAAAAATATTAAAAGCTACTTAACAAAAATACTAAAAGCTCTCTACAAGACTACAACCTAACTTTGTCAAGATTAAAAAAGGAGGAACAAAAGGAACCCCACGCATTCTACTCTCCCTCTTTGTCTCGCTGCTAGCCTGCTGCATTGCCATTGTCGGACTCGACGCGGAGGCCGGTGAAAGATTGCAGTCTGAAGGCCATTCATATCCAGGTTAGATTCTCCTCTTCTTCTTTTTTAAAAATTTTTTGGCTCTATTTGTGGGCTGAATTTTATTGTTAGTCATTAGAGATTGAAACTTTGCTCAATATTTCTAAATCTTGGAAAAAGATTACAGCTAGAATAAAATAATGGATACTTAGATTTTTTTTAGAAACTTCAGATTTTCACTCATATTTTTTTTCAAAAGTAGGACCTGATTCCTCATTCCTGAACATATATTTGTTCTTTAAATAAGAAAACAAGGACAAATAAATTGGTGGCTGTGTGTAAGAATTTGGGAAATAGTTTGAATTCCCAAATTTTGATTCTTTAACCTGTAAAGTGCTACACATACAGTGCCAAAGTTTGATTTACCACATGCAGCTATAGAGATGGATTGTGATGTTCATTTCTATCTTTTTGGACCCCAAACATTCTAAAACCTGAAGCATCATAACAAAAAGAAATCCAATCTGTAACAAAAAAAAGAACAATTTGGGTAGTTTTTCAAAGTAAGGTTCAAAATTCCTTTCTTTTCAACTCTTTGTATTAGACCAATCTCTTCTCCTCACCTTAAAATATGCCAAGAATTGAAGCATCAGATTAACAAAAAAAGTGCAACAAGTCTGTCTCCAATCTCTTTTCTTCCCATTAAAACATGCCAAAAGTTGAAGCATCAAAACAGGAAAAAAATGCAATATTTTAATACAGTTAACAAAAATGAAGAATAGGTCTGCTTCCAAAAACATATAATTACAAGAAGAAAATCTCATTTGACAACATAGAAGTCAAAAAGTTCAAGTAGAAATTAATAAGAATCACTATGAATACAAGCAAACCCAGATGTTCAGATCATACAATTATTTTATTAAGGAAAAATGATAAAATAAAGGAGAGAAAAAATAAGTTAAACCTGCCAAGAACGGAAGCTAAAATTTTGATATGGAATTCCTCAGGTTCCTCATCCTCAGGATTCTCAGTATGAACTATATACACTTTTGCTTCTGTGGATGCTTGTGAATCCGCCATTGATATAGTAGCTGCAACAAAGGAGAAAACCAAGAAAATCGAACAGATAATTTGGGTTTTCTTCATCGCTTTCACTTTGTGCACTTATAAAAATATAGAGAGAGAGAGAGAAAGATTCCTTGGGATTTTTGGGACACCTTTTATACTTGAGGAACAAGTTTCAGACTCCTAAGTTGAAACCCCCGCTTTGACAGAAAAGAAAAAAAAACAAACACAAAAAAGAAAAGAAAAACTTTTTATAGCGTATTGAATAGTTCTGCTGACTAGGGATTTCTGAACTACAACAGCTGGAGGACTTTGCCACGTGTGAAAAGATGGTCGTTTCGCTGCTGTTATAACGATTCGTTTTTTGGCTTTTCGGCAAATGACGCAAGTGCTAGGGGTGAGATAGGAAATTTATTGCGGACAAAGTATGGGTTTTGATTTTAAAGACTCACTGATCGTTTTGAATATTAGTTCCCTTTTCTATATTTCGAGACCTCCTGTAATTTTTTTTTTGATGATTTATGACTTGCATGTGTGGTTTGTATAGTTTTCCGAAAAGTTTTTATGTGAAATTTTAAAAAAATATATGATTTTTGACTTTAAAAACGACTAGAGTTGACCACGGTTAATATTTTTGATAAATAATCTTGGATCGATATTTAATGATTCTGGTAGGTTCGTATAATATTTTTGGACTTGTACGCATGTTTGGTTGGGGTTCCGGGTGACCTAAGGACGTTTCGGCGCATTATGTAAAAAGTTGGAAAAATAAGTTTTGAAGTTGAAAACCTTGAGTTTTAATGATCGATTCAATTTCTTCCCAAACGCATTGGTTAGTAACTTTTCAATCAATTTCAATTACTTTTTTCATGAATTTCATAATCAAATCTACGAATTTTAAAGTAGAAATTGGGTGGTTGGTATAATTTAGGAATCTTGTAAAATTGAGATTTAGACCTCGAATTGAGGTCGAGTTTCGAAACAAATCACATGTCCAGGCTCGGGGATGAATGGGCAATCGGTATTTGATCTTAATCTCAGATTTCGACCACGTTGGTCTGGGTTGACTTTTTATTGACTTTTTTAATTTAGTTAAAGATTGAATCTTTTTTTCATTCGTGGGTAGTCTCTAAATCTTGTATTGAATTGTTTAGACAATATTTGGCTAGATTCGATTGGTTTGGAGGCTTGTTCTGGAAAAAAAATCGTGTTGGATTGTTGATTGTATTCCGGAAGAGGTAAGTGTCTTGTCTAACGTTGTTATGCATGTGACAGGATTATCCATGCTCGGAGTAGATTATATGATTCTACTCCGGACATCCAAAATCACCATACGAAACTATTGGAACCATCAAAATACCATTCCGGAGTCGTCTACACGAAAATCAAACTTCGATCAACTCTTACAACTTAAGCATCCAACCTTTGGGACTAAGTGTCCCAATTCACTCCAAAACTTCCACGAAACCAAATCAACCACCTAGGCAAGTCACATAACCACAAATATACATATGTAAAGCATCAAACTAGGGAAATATGGCTAAAATACTCAAAACGATGGGGCGGGTCGTTACATACAGTATTAAAATTGGATGAAAAACACATATCCAATATCTTGGTATGAAAATCCCTTCTTAAAATCGCCTCCCATCGAGTCTAGCGCTCAAAAATGTGATAAAATATGACTAAGTCCCTAAATTCCAACTTTTGTTGAGCTGTAGTAGTCGCAAATGCGACCAAATGATCGCAAATGTGATACCTGTCGAGCCCAGAAAATGTTGCAAAAGCGACATTCACTTTGCAAATGCGCATACACGCCCCTTTGCAAAAGCGATCCGTTGATCGCAATTGCGGTTACCCTTGCCTAGTTGCCCCATCGCAAATGCGATCCTATAGTCCACAAAAGCGAACATCCCAACATCCAGCCAACCTCGCAATTGTGATACCCACCTCTCAAATGTGAGGTCCATAAATGCGAACAGGATCTCACATTTGCGAAACCTGCAACATCAGCCAAAAAACCATCAAAATCTGAAACAGACCAAATCACTCCGAAAAGCGTCTGAAACTCACCCGAGCCCCCGAGGCTCCACACCAAACATTTACACAAGTCTAGAAATATCATACGAACTCGTTTGCAAGCTCAAAAAAACTAAAATAACACCCGAAAATCATGAATCGAACACCAAAATACATAGAATTCACAATGAAACTCAAGAATCGCTAAAATCACACCCAAACGTCTAATTCCTACCAAACCAGCTCGGAATGACACCAAATTTTGCACACAAGTCACAAATGACGAAACGGTCCTATTTCAAGTCTCGAAACCAAAATTCGAATCCGATAGCCATAAAATCAATCCATGGTCAAACTTAAAAAATTTCTAAACCTTCAAATTGCCAACTTACGGCAAAAAGAGCCAAATCAACCTAGGAATCTCCGAGTCTAATTTCGGACATATTCCTAAGTCTAAAATCACCATACGAACCTATTGGAACCATCAAAATACCGTTCCGTGGTCGTTTTCATAAAAAGTCAAACCTCGATCAATATTTTCAACTTAAACTTCCAAACTAAGAACCAAATGTTCTGAATCAATCCAAAACCTCCCCGAAATCAAACCAACCATCTCCGCAAGTCACATAACTACAAATACACATACGGATAACTTCAAAAGGGGAAATGGAGCTCAAATACACAAAAGATTGATTAGATCGTTACATTCTCCCCCTCTTAAACAAACGCTAGTCCTCAAACATGCCAAGAGTCGCTCCAAAACCATCAATTCACTGCATACACTCACCATGCACATACCCACGGGCGATCCCATGTCACCTCAATCCATATAATCCCATCAACACAATCTCGGCTGAAGATTATTCCTTCCACCTTAACCGATAAGCCTTAGAATCAAATTTTAACATTTAGGCCTCCCCTAAGACCCGATTCTCACATATACATACTGCATCAACCCCAACCAGCTGCACCAGATCATAAATACATCCACATGGTATAACCACACGGCGTAACCAATCGCTCATATGCTCATAGCAATATCTCCGAACACAATAGCTGCCTATTACCAAACTCAATCCCGATAAATAATCTCATATCAAATAAAAACTTGTTCTAAACCTTCATAACACTACTAATAATGTAAGAAACACGTGGAAACTCATAACCACTCACCCAACCAACAAGTCATGGAGTTCTATCGCCCGACAAGAACCAACGCCAAGCTTAAGTTGATCAACGACATTATTATACAGACATACCTTATCCAAGTCCGATTGCACTAATTCCAGGTCCAATGATTTCATCTCATCCAGTACTAGCTATTAGACCGACAAGCCACCCCAAATTCCACCTAGTCACATACGTCACAATCCGTACCCAACAAGCAACAACTCGAATATCACTGAATATGTAAAGAGAAACACATGAGAGAACCATCTGACAAGTTCAATAGGTACAACTCCCCATCGATACCATACTATTAATCCATTCGACAAGGGAGAAGCAAAATACATGAAATAAGCACAAAGAATCTCATCCTAACATAACCCCATCGCGGCACATAGCCTGGTCCAAACATACCAATCCACATGGAAACACAAGGATCCCATCCTCAACTCTGAATCACAAGTAGGATAAACATTTTGTTTACCAAAAACCTTTCACTAACTCAATCCCGTAAAACAAAAATCACAACACGCAATAGACTCCCCATGACTGTAAAGCACCACAACTTCCAAACTCTTCGGAACCCAGTAGGAATTCCTCGATAGTTATCCACTCCAAACTCAACAACCTTGGCATAGCCAACGTCATGGTCTTAGCGCGATAATCAAGAATAGCATGATACAGAGATAGTTAATCCATACCCAACATCATATCACAATCAACCATATTAAGTAACAGAAGGTCAACCCTAGTCTCATGACTCCCAATAGTGACCAAACAAGAACGATAGACCCTGGAGTTTAAATATTTCAAGTTGAGTAGGACGAAAACGGAATACTTGGAGTGCAAGTGACGTGAGGGGACACATGAAGCAGAAGTGGACATAAAGCTTGATACACAATTCATTCCCAAGAGAGATAGTTTCAAGTACCTTGGGTCTGTTATCCAAGGCAATGGGGAGACTGATGAGGATGTTACACATCTTATTGGAGCGGGGGTGGATGAAATGGAGGCTCGCATATGGTATTTTTGTGTGATAAGAATATGCCACCGATACCTAAGGGAAAATTTTACAGAGTGGTAGTTAGACCGACTATGTTGTATGGTGCTGAGTATTGGTCAATCAAGAAATTTCATGTCCATAAGATGGGATTAGCAGAAATGAGGATGTTAAGATAGATGTAGTCATACCAGGAAAGATAAGATTATAAATGAAGCTATTAGGGACAAGATGGGAGTGGCCCCTGTGGAAGATAAATTGCGAGAATCGAGGCTGCGATGGTTCGGGCACGTGATGAAGAGCGATATCGATGTCCCGGTTAGGAGGTGTAAGAGGTTGACCATGGCGGGTCTGATAAAGGGTAGATGTAGGCCTAATAAGTATTAGGATAGGTGATTAGGCAGGATATAGATCTTACCGAGGACATGACCCTTGATAGGAAGGTTTGGAGGTCGAGAATTAGGGTTGAAGAATGACAGGTAGTCGAGAATTTCTCCTAACCTTACCAGTAGTTGTAGTAATATTCTTACATTTTTATGTTCCTAGTTCTTTGTTATTCCATGTTGTGTCATTTTAACCAGTATTGTTAGTACTATTCTTACATTTCTTATTTCTGGATCTTTATTATTACACGTAGTGTCTTTATTTTTTCTTGTTGTTGTTATAGTTGGTTGCTTCCCGTTTACTGTTTCTTACGTCGAGGGTCTTTCAAAAAAGCCTCTCTACCTTCACAAGGTAGGGGCAAGATATGCGTACACACTAACCTTCTCAGACCCCACTTATGGGATTACACTGGGTTGTTATTGTTGAAACCTTTTACAAAACGACGCATGCGCTATACCGTCGAGTATTGCTGGTAAAGCAACCGTATTTTCTATATATGTGATCAACTAGTAAAAGTATTTATTCTATCAACCAAACATGGTATAAATTTAATCCTAGTCTTAATACAGGATATCCCACCTTATCCCATCAAACTTGAAATTATATTATCCCACCTTTCAAGTGGGATAAATTAGTCCAGGGATTATAATCCTAGGATAATTTAGTCTGGGTACCAAATGACCCCATAGAGTCATTGTCGACTCAATGGTGAAGCAAGTAAAGTACTTGCTTTAGGCCCCAAAAATTTGGGGGGGGGGGGGATTTTTTATCTATAGGTTTTTTTATAATATTAAGTACTTTTAGTAGATTTTTCATATAAAAAAAAGATAATTTTATTATATTTGTGAATAAACCATTAACATCAGAATATTTATTATGGGATGTATGAATAGTTGTGAATATTTACACTCTCTTTCTTATTTTGTCCAAGTCGCCATCTTTCTTTTCCCTTCTCTCGTAAGATTATATGATTTCTCTTTTATTTCTTTCATACATTCTTTTTCCATTAAAAGTTCAAACAGTTCAAAAGTTTTAGCGGGAAAAATTTGAGATGATTAGATGACGAGAATATTAAAAAAATATTGTTTTAACCTTGTATGTTCTTTAAAATTTAATACTCACTTTTATATTGATGGTTTAGACTTATTTTTAAAATTAAAAGTGTTAAAAAAAGTACAAGTAAAAAATAATACTCTAAACGACATATTCAATAAATAAAAAGACTTAAATCTTTTTCAAATGCTTTTATTTCTTATAAAATAATATTAACAATTACTATAACAATTGTCTCAGCCGAAAGAAGTTTTTCAAAATTAAAATTGATAAAATCTTACCNAGGCCCGGCCCGTTAGGCCCACTAAGGCCCGGGCCCGGGACAAAATACAGCCCTACCTAAGATCGACAATTCTCAAGAAAGATTAAATGAGTTGGCTATATTATCATTCGAAAAAAAGTTATTTTAAAAAATAAATAATAATAAAACTTATTAACAACTTTACATCTCAAAAAGCTATAACAATAGTTTTTTTTTTTGGAAAAAAAGTTTTTTTTTTTTTTTAAATTTAGGACTTCCAAATAAATTTTGGCTTTAAGCCACGGGATTTTTCACAGGTACCCACTTTTGGGAGGCGCCACTGAAGTTATACCTGTATTTTATAAAATTTACCCATCGGGATCTAAAATACTTCTATCTCTTTAATGCAACTTTAGAATCAGATATAAAGTTCTTCTATCTTTCAAATGAAATTTTAGAAAATTGGATCTTAAATAGCTATATCTCTTCAATGCAACTTCAGAATCGGATATGAAGTTCTTCTATCTTTCCAATGCAACTTCAGAAAATTTGGATCTTAAGCAGTTCTATCTTTTCAATGCAACTACAGAAATCAGATCTTAAGTTCTGAAACATAAAGTCGTTCTTCGAATTTTCACAATCCAACTTATGATTCAACACCCAAATCTACTCAAAACGAGCCCAGATTTAAAACGTAACTTTCGAATATCATAAAGAACAAACCTCATTCATCAAATTATCAAAACAACAACAAATCTAACAAACTCATTTTGCAATTAAGAAGAAGAAGAAACCCTAAGCACAACCTACAACTAGGGGTGCACAAAGAAAATCGATAAACCGCACCAAACCGATAATTCGAGTCAAATCGGAAAAAAAAAATTCGATGTGATTTGGTTTGGTATTGAAAAATAAAATCCGACCATAACTGGTTTGGTTTTAACTAAAAAAGTCAAACCGAAACCAAGCCAACCCGATAGTACATTTATATAACTATTAAGAACATTTTATACATATAAATTTTGATTGTAATGTAATTTATAAATATTTCTTAAACTTTTTCACATGTTTATCTTTTAACGTATTATTTCAAGTTTAGACTTTACATTCTTGAATGGTAAATAAATTTTATAGCCCATAAATATAGTAACTCAAACAAAGTTCAAATCAATACTAATGCTAACAAAAGAAATTCAATTCAATACTAGAAATGACGATAGTATTTTTTAGTTTTATATTGGTTTATATTGAAAATACATAACTTAGTTTATCTTTTTCTTTACTGCTTAGTTATGTAATTAATATTAGTACTTATTAGCTATACTTATTTTAGCATGACCTATATAGTATTTTTAGATTATGTTAATTTTCATTATGACTTATTAATTAGCAATATTTGTTTTATGTAATTTTATTAATTTATCTTTGCTATTGAATATTTTAGTATAATGCTATGACTTATCTCATATTATTGTGTTAGTTTCTTGGAAAACACATTATATAGTTGTATTTTACTAAGACTTAAGAAATTTTGGAGCACAAGTTACATATTCTATGCTATGAAGAATTTACCGGAAAAATACCCAAAAACCCGAAAGCTTTTTAGTTAGGTTCATTATTTATGTACTACTCCAAAGTCCAAAGAGCAACTAAATTTGGTGCATGCATCGACTTACAAGGAATTCTTTTCTCCTTGTAACACCTGATGAAGTCACAAGACTCAGGAGGCTAAAAAAACAATGGACCCTCCATTTTCCACCTTAAACTAATGGAGCATTTGCTGAAAAGGATACTTAGAACCAAAAATGCCACATACCAAAAGTAATCACATATAAAAAAGGCCATAGTTTACAAATATTTATTGAGGAATCTTGATTTTAGTTTTCTCCAAAAACAAAAAAATGAGATGCTATCTCTGTATAATCATGAGGAATATAATTGAGCTAGTTCATCTGAGAAGGCCTTCCTAATGACATCCCTCTTGAGCTTCAAAGCTGCAGTAACAAGGCCTGATTCTGGGGTCCATGCTTCCGCAAGCAACTTGATCTTCGCTGGGATCTCAAACTTTTCCAAACGAGCAGCCTTCGCTGCCTGTACAAGATAAGTGGGGGTAAACAAAATTCAATGAACAATAATATTCACAATATAACCAATCACACTGCAGTCTAGACGACAATGGTATTTAACTCCGAAAACATGGAGTAGTTCGGCAAATGTTAAGGTTACACTCAAAATAGATGAGGCCTTAACTTAGTGTTAAAAAGGAAAAGGATTCTTCTTTGCTAATGACAATTGATAAACGATGTTGCATCAGTTCATAAAACATTGTTGAGGGCCAATGCTCGCTATAATGGTAATAATGTGTTTACATTTTCTGTTATCGTGAATAATGAGATATATGGGGTTTCCCTTTCAAAACCACAAAAGTTATTGACTAGTAGGTGCTATAAAATATTTCAATAATGAACCACCCTACAAGTAATAGTAGTTACTGTTCAGACTATTGAGTTGCTAAATCATCTGCAAGTCATGTTTAAATAAAGCTATACAAAAGGAAAAAGAAGGAAAAAGAAGAAAAGAAAAAAGAAAGAAGCTCTATATATTTGCATGCACGATAGTACCTTCACTAAGGAAGCATATACTTCCTTGACAGTTTCTTCATTCTGACATAACTCTGGGAAATCGCCAAAGTCAATACCGTGCTTCTTAGCCCAGCCTTCCACAGCAGCTTGAGCGGCCACCACTATAGCTACACAATAACTATGGAAAGGATTGGCATGCAACATTATATTGTCGACATAGGGACTGATGCTAAGAGCAGCCTCGACCTGCACATTGATGTATCAACTCCCACATCAGTAAATGAAAAAGCGTAGGGAGTTGGGGCTGTGAAACCAGAAGAATTTAATCTACCAATGTGCATACATTTGTATGCTAGGATAAAAAAAACCATGTAAAAATACTAGATCCGTTGCAGACATAATTAAGTAAATAAAAGTGTGCTCTCTCTAACAGCTTAAGCTTTTAGATGAGATGATTACACACTTAGTATTAGAGTAGGCAGAGGTCCTGGGTTCAAGTCTCACCGTCACCCAATATCAAAAAGAATTTTCACGTGCTTGGCTCATCAAAAAGAATCAAGCCTGCACGTGAGGGGGCTCGTTGAAGACATAATTAAGTAAACAAAAGTGTGCTTTCTCTAATAGCTTAAGTTTTTAGACGAGATGGTTACACACTTTAAAAAGATCGCACCTTTCCCAAGGAAACATATTCTCCGTGCTGAAGTTTAACAATGTCCTTTTTACGGTCAATTATCTCAAGGCAACCATCTGCATGAAACTGCCCTATGTCACCTGTGTAGAACCAACTCATTCCTCTCTCGTCAACCTTAATACAGCAAAAAAGCCCATTGCAATTAAAAAATATACCAGTCATAGTTGTAACACAAATACTACAAATACTCATCAGAGTATACAATGTAGAGCAATACGTACCTTGTATACTTCTTTCGACTTCTCCTCATTTTTGAAATATCCGACGGTAACATTTGGTCCACCAATAACAATCTCACCTCGAGGCATTGGGGAATCACTTGTTAGATATCCACCCTCAGCCCAATCTATCAACTACAGATGAAAGTACTACATTAAATTACGAGTATTATCTGGTGAAAGCTAAAAAGATTGATTGCAGAAGCTATCATATAGCTGTTAGAGTTTATAATGGACTTGAACAACAAAAATGGTTTGGAAAGCAAGAAGATCAAAATGTAACACGGGGAAAAACAGAATGGAGATTTGAAGCACAAATTTTATGTTACAGGTTGCCGATGGATCATGATGTGGTACTCTGTCAACTTACAAAAGAACCATCTGAAACTTAAACCATATAAAGCTAGGCACAGGAACAAGAGCATTACATAAAAGATAATATGCAAACCACAGGATTTAACAAATAATTGTGAGAGATGCAAGTAATAAGATTACTGCAATGCTTTCTAAAAATTTGAAATGCATAATTCTTGACCTCAAAATGGGGTAATTCTCTCCTACTTGCACAAAGAAATGAAGCCAATGACCATAGTATGATACAAGGACATAGAGGAATGTCAAGCTTTGACTCTGCTCATTCTACTTTACCTTGATGTATGAGCAGGGGAGTGGAGGACCAACACGTCCGACAGAAGTATCATCATAATCACTGAATGTTCCACCAGCACAGGTTTCAGTAAGACCATAACCTTGGCCTATTGGAGCACTAGGAAAATAAACCAAGTAAGATGAGAAGTCT